CATCCCTTATCCAAAACAGCTGTGACTAGAAGTGTTTCTGATTTCTGATTTTTTTTTTTAGAATTTGGAATATTTGCATTATACTTACCAGTTGAACATCCCTAATCCATAAATCTGAAATGCTTCATTGAGCATTTCCTTTGATCGTAATGTAGGTGCCCAAAAGATTTTGGGTTTTGAAGCATTTCCAAAATTATGCTCAAAGGAAATGTTCTTTGGAGCATTTCAGTTTTCAGATTTTTGGATTAGGGATACTCCACCTGTATCCAAGTCCTTGCTTTCAGTTTTTGTTGTTGTTGTTGTAGTAGTATATTTATGCATAAGTGGAATTGCTAGATTGTATGGTAATTCTACATTCAATTATTTTTTTTTTTACTGGGGTCAGATCTTACAGAGTCATATATTCAATATTTTGAAGGTCTGCTTTGCTGTTTTTAACAGTGGCTGCACCATTTTATGTTGCCACCAACAATACACAAGGGTTCCAGTATCTCTACATCCTTGCCAGTGCTTGTTATTTTTCGGATGGTTTTGTTTTTGTTTTATCTGATTGCTATCCTGATGGCTGTGAAATGGGATCTCATTGTGATTTGATTTGCATTTCCCCAATGATTAGTGATGTTGAGCTTCCTTTTGTGTGCTATTGGCCATTGGTAAATCTTTTTTGGAGAAGTATCTATTCAGGTCCTTTACCCATCTTTTAATCAGGTTGGTTTTCTTTGTTGTTGCTCAGTTGTAGTTCTTTATGTACTCTGAATGTTAACCACTGATTAGATATACTATTTGCAATATTTTTTCCCATTCCATGGATTGCCTTTTCACTCTGTTGATAGTAACCTTTGATGCACAAAAGTTTTAGATTTTGATGCAGTCTAATTTATCTCTTTTTTCTTTTGTTGCCTGTGCTTTTGGTAGCATATCAAAAATCCATTGCCAAATTCAATGCCATGAAGATTTTCCCTATGTTTTCTTCTAAGAGTGTTATAGTTTAAGCTCTTATGTTTAGGTCTTCGAACTTTTTTGGGGGGGGTTAAATTTTGTATTTGGGGTAAGGGTCCAACTTCATTTCTCCAGATGCCAGGAACGTTGGCTGAGGCTCACAGCTGAGTTCTCCAGGGATTACCTTCAACAAAAGAGAGAAGGGGCCAGGTGCGGTGGCTCACGCCTATAATCCCAGCACTTTGGGAGGCTGAGGCAGGCAGATCACTAGGTCAGGAATTCGAGACCAGCCTGGCCAACATAGTGAAACCCCATCTCTACTAAAAAATGCAAAAAAAGAAAAAAAAAAAAGCTGGGCATGGTGGCACATGCCTGTAGTCCCACTACTTGGGAGGCTGAGACAGGTGAATCGCTTGAACCTGGGAGGCAGAGGTTGCAGTGAGCCAAGTTCACACCACTGCACTCCAGCTTGGGCAACAGAGTGAGACTTCGTCTCAAAAAAAAAAAAAAAAAAAAAAAGGAAGCTTCACCCCAAGTTATGTTCTCACCCCATGCTTGCCACCCACATTGATGATTGGTCACTATGAAGGTACGAAGGCCTGGCTCCCTTGCCTCAATGTAAAACAACTCTAGAGCATCATCACAGCTCCAAAGCTCATCACAATTTAATCTCCTCCTCTGCCCAGCCTTTTATTTCCTCCAAAGAGATGTTCCTCAGAGCACTACACAATCAGTGCTCTCCACACACATTTTAAAATCTGTTTCCCAGAGAGCCCAACCTAAAAAGAGTGGTCTTAATAAGTAAAAAAATAAAAAGTAGATTTTCCAGTTAGCCATTTAAATTTTCTCCTTGACCAGATGGCACAATGTTAAACTGTGTCAGCAGAAGGCATAGGAGGGATATGGAGGAGGAAGGGGTTCTCTTCCTGGCTCCAGTGTGCGCAGCTTGGCTGACTCTTGCAATGCGTGCAGCTTCTCCAGGCTGTGGTCCTGCAGCATCCAGCAGTCTACAGTGCCCAGCAGCTTCCCCCAATATCCACTGGGTAGCTTCAGCCACCAATGAGACAACTCTCCATGAAGAGCTTCTCTGGCACTCTCTTGGGTAGTTTTGCAGTGAGTTCTAAGTATGGCATCTTTCTGTGGGCACGTGCCCCTAACACCCACAGAGAGCAGATTTCCAGCAAGTCTCATCAGCCCAGCATTTCAGGAACTTCTCTGCCTTCTAATGAGGCCTAGATCCCAGGTCTCGAGGTGCTGTTTCCTCGAGCACTGTATCTCAGCCCTAGGGATGGTGGCTACTCCTTATGTCTGATATTTCTGAATGCTTTCAAGTTCTCTTCACTTCTTACCACTCATTCCCGAATCCTCTAATTACTCTAATCTTCAATTGTAGTTAGTAATTTATTCTATTAAACTTTACCTTTTCAATTTACTGTGAGATTTCTATCTCCTAATTGGACCTGACTGATAGAGTGAGTTTAAAACAATATGCTTGGTGTTAGTCTAGTTTGACAGGGAAAATGCAACAAACTATATGTGCAGAGAAAGAAAATCATATTTAGAAGAAAATGTACCAAAGGCAGAATTAAAAGTGTTTTTTTTTTTTCTTTGTTTGCTGTTCCTTATTTTCTAGATTGGGTTGCTTTTATAATCAGAAAAAAGTATTTTAGAAGGGAGAAAATATAATAGCTTATAAGGTCTTTAATACATGCTAAATGCTTAACCAAGTAATTTAATTAGTTGGCCTTATGTCATAAGTCCTTACTATTCAGAGTGTGGTCTTTGTGTCAGTAGCATAAACAACATGTAATAACTTGTGAGAAAGTACAGAATCTCTGGGCCCATCCTAGACCCACTGTATCCAAAGCTGCATTTTAACAAGATCTCCAGCTGATGTATTTGCATATTTGAGACACAAAGTTTGAGAAGGCCTTCTGCAATAAGCAATTTAACTAGTAGCCTAGAAAGAAAAAATATCCTAGCTCTCTCAGGAGAACTACCAGCTAGTTTCTAGGGAATTTGTTATGTAGAAATGAGTAGTCCAGCACCTTTCTAAACATCAGTGTTCAAAAATTCATGCATATTGACTATTTGTCATGCACTGAGATAATCCTTTGAAGTCATACGTGGTTACACTGACTTGTTATTTATGGATGAATAATTATTTCCTTAATACTTTGGGTTCCCCAAAAAGCAGAGCCTGAGGTAATAGCTTTTGCATTATTATTTTATTAGAGAGTATAATCCAAAGAGGAGGATGAGATAAGGAGACCAAAGCAGGGGACAAGGAAGAGATAACATGTGGTGTATTATGATGGTGGCTGCTGCTAAGCAGAACTAATTAATTATGAGAAGAAGCCCCCAAGACCCAGTGTTACTTCTTTTCAGGACCATCTAACAGTGTGAGAGAGGGAGAAATATTTATGCACTGGCTCCCGTCTGTCATTCGTCTGATGCTTGCCCTACCTCTTATACTTCTGGGTTATACATGCATGGGTGTGGGTACATAAAGAAGCCTCATGGTAGAAATTATAGAAGTCCTAAGCAGGAGGTGAGAAGTGTGTGGAACCACAGGCACTATCAGACTGCACCTGTCTGAAGATGATCCAAGGCCACAGAAAGCTGATCACCATAGCACCAGCAGAAATAAGAGAAATAATTAGTAGGTAAGATTGAGAGGGACCAAGGGAGTAAGAGGTGCCTGATAAAAAACATTATTAAAAGAATATTTCAAAGAAAGACTTTTTTTTCAGGATTTGAAAATTCAGTGTCTATAATTGTGCTCTTCCTCAAATAATGTAGTAACATTTCCACTTACTTTGAAGAATGTGTCAGAGACGCTCGCAGATTAAATCTTTTTGAGATAAATACAATAAAAATGAAAATTACAAGAACAGAGAAAGAAATAGAGCTTCTGAAGAAGAAAATAATTGACCTGACAAAATATAATGAAGCTCTGGGGTAGGTATTCTTACATTCAGTATTTGAGGGAGAAGGGGTCTGTGGCTGGAATGGGAAGATTGTCGGAAGGGGTTTATTCTCTGATCTGAACTGGGCAGGGCAAGTTGAGGGGTGAAAATGGGTTGTAGGAGATGACCCAGGCTGATGGGGTAGGGAAAGTGATGGATGTAGAGGACTGAGGAGGAGAGCAGAAAATCTTCAACCACAGCAGCCAGGAGACCTGTAATATTTCAAAGGCAGTCCAGCTTCCCAACAGCAACTACTGTTTATAAATCACACACTACCTCTGATGCTATCTCCAAAGGTAGACACACAGTGGGTTTCGTTTCCATTTTCATAGAATTAAGTTTACAAACCCCCACCACCAAAGTAAGAAATCTGGCAGGGATTATATTGTAAATCTAATATCAAACCAGACCTATTGTATCTGTTTCAGTTCATTGAAGATATTTAGTCATATTTGTAATCCACTGGAGGACTGAGGATGGGGCTAGTTCCCAGGACAAGGTTCCAGATTTTATCTGTAATTAAATGAGACAGTATGTGAAACTGCCTGTAGCTCAGGATCTGGCACCCCTTAGTGAGCCGCATTTTCTCCATCTGTGAAATGGGGATCACAACTCTTAACTTTGGTAGCTCATGAAAGGAAGAGAGATATTCTGAAAGAAAGAACTCCTTGAAGAATTACTCACCCCTATGAGAAAATTTGATACATTTTAATAAATATAAATATCAGCATGTTAGTTTCCAGAGTGATAAATATTCACTAAGAGCCCTTATCATAGGGGAAAAAGTCTTCTTGGGAAGCTAAAATAATCAGAGGGTTGCCTGGTACCCCATATATCAAATCGACAGAAATCAGGTAGAGATCTCAAGGCCCAGGGACATGGATTTCAAACCAAGCTCTCAGAACACCTGTGCTGGGAGATGCTCCATGAAAGAGAAAGTTTATGATTACATAAGTTTGAGAAATACCAGATACTCTAATCCCTGTTGGGGTTTCACAATGCAGATTTGTGCATGGTGCATGCTAGCCACAATGGCCAGAGCCTGCTACATAAACTAGACTATCCCTAAACTAATAACAAGAAAAATGATACCCAGGCTAGATATTTATATCAACTGGTCCCAACATCACATCCCTATAGACCAATGATTCTCAAACTTGATCTTGCATCAGAATCTCCTGAAGGGCTTGTTAAAACCCAGAAGCAACTACTGTTTGTAATTAAATTACTCGTACTTGCTTCCAAAATTTCTGATTTAATAGATCTGGGAGGAGTGGCATGGGGACAAGAATTTGCATTCCTGACAAATTCTCAGGTGATGCTGTTGCTGCTGGTCCTGACCACATTGGGGGATCCACTGCTCTAGACAAATCTTCATAGAAAGGCCATAACAAACAGAAGGTGGTGCCGGTTTTGTTGGCATCATCAAGCTACAATCATTTGTTGCATCAATTTTTCAAGGAAAAATGCATATCAAAGTGTCCACAAGCTCTGACAGGTGGTGGGTATGTCTCCTGTCCTGGGCAATTTTCAAAAACTAGATACAGATAGAGCAGCTGTTTGAATGTGCTTTCCTAAGGCTCCACACTGCGTTTGTGAGTGTTCTCAGCCCATCACAGCACACCTAGTGAGGTTTTTTGAGTTTACTTATTTTGCTTTGTTTCCTGGAGGCTCCACTGTCCTCAGGTTGATTCATTCTTAGAAGCCTTCCTCTGCTGCATCCACAAAGCCCCTATTATCTGACCATCTACTGAGCCTCTCAACTGGGCTTCTCTTTATTCCTTTCTTTTGTGGGGTTTGGCCCCTGGAAGCAAACTTCCCAACAGCCTGCTTTTACTTTCCTGAACCTTCAAACACAAATTCTTTTAAAAGTTGCTAGTCCTGAGGACTAGCCAAAGGAAAAGGGTCTTTACATTGCAGGAGCTTTTAAAAAGGAAAAATAGAGACATGGCACCGATTGTCCCTTTTGTAAATCTTTTGTTGTTAGCCTCAAGGTAGACATTTCTCTCAATCTTAAGATCTTCCTCAGATGGACACTGGCCAGCAATGGATGTGTGAGGTTAATGACTCCTATTGAGCTCAGCTTTGGCTCCAGCTGGGAGAAGCTAAGAGGGTTCAAATTAGGTTTCAAGCAACCTCCAAACAGTAAAGATGGACTCTTTTCTTTCCCTGATTTCTGTCCAGAGGAAGGTGAGCTTTCTGTTGGGCTCTGCCTGAAGGGCTGTAGCACCCAGGGTGGTTGGAGATGTGATGAGATGTTTCTTTTTCTTTGGCTTAACATCGTATCTCAGGATGATGAGATAGACATGATGACACTATGTATCAAAACACTCATCTGGCCAGATCCCATTTACCTGTTCAAAACTATTTTTGAGTCATTGTATTCTTTAACCCAAAAAATTCTGTGTTTACCACCTGGCATGTGGGGACTGGTGGGGTAAAGCAGGGCCACACGACATTCTAAAGTCGTATAAGTTGCACAGTTGATGCTTGTTTCCTGCTATCCTCATCTCAAACATTTTTTTTTTTTAATTTGAGACAGTCTCATTCTGTCAACCAGGCTGGAGTTCAGTGGTGTGATATTGGCTTACTGCAACCTCTGCCTTCTGGGTTCAAGTGATTCTCCTGCCTTAGCCCCCTGAGTAGCTGAGATTACAGGTGCACACCACCATGCCTGTTAAATTTTTGTATTTTTAGTAGAGACGGGGTTTCAGCATGTTGGCCAGGCTGGTCTCAAACTCCTGACCTCTCAGGTGATCTGCCTGCCTTGGCCTCTCAAAGTGCTAGGATTATAGGCATAAGCCACTCTGCCTGGCCTTCAACCAAGTTTAGAAAATCATAAACACAGTCACAAAATAAGTATTCTTGACAGTTTTCCTCTGCCAAGGAGTCATTTCACCACAGAGACTTTATTCCTTTCTTAGGAGCTGTGCTTCTCACTCTGTGAGCAATTCTTTCCTCCCAGGGAGAAACAGGAAGAGCTAGCAAGGAAGCATGCGAGGTTTATCCTGTCACTCAACCAAACTATGGAGAAAAAAGCCACCACCACTGTTTACATAAATGAGACTTATACTGAAATAAACTTGAAGAGAGAAGACATAGCATTGCAAAAAAAAATTATTAAAGAGGCAGAAGAGCTAATGGAAAAAGAAAGCGCAGAATATCTAATAAGAAAACAAGAGTTGGCTGCACAGGTAAGTGACATGATTTATTCTTTAAAATACAGAATCTGGGGCAGGAAATGGGAAATAATTTATTTGTCCTCAAGGCTGGCAAGCAGCCTCTGTGGTATCTTCTTTGAACACTGGGAAAATGGGATAAGTGGGAAACTCAAGGATACTTCCCCGGTGGGGGAAGATATTGATGGGTAGCGCATCTCAGTTCATGGGGATGAATATAAGTGACAGGATTTGTAACACTGGGGTGTCCCCTTGCTTATACACAGCCATATAGGGACAAGAAATAGGCTACCATCTTATCCGGGTGCCTTTGGTAATCCTGAGACTGTCTGTATGGACAGGACCAAGGCGTTCAGACATTTATCAGCCCTGTTGCTCCTGATAAATGAATCAGAAACAGTAGTGGCCTGCAAAGGGGCTGGGCAGAACTGAGGGCCTTAAAGAGAAAACAATGTTTGGAGACCAGCAATTTTGTGAGGGTGGGGCAGGAATAGCTACTGCATCTTTTTCTGCCACTATGGAGGCTGAACTCCCTGCTATGCCATGTTAATTAAAATTCAGCATCAGATCAGTTATGTTTGTTTCTTCCTTGTCCTGCTCTGGTAGACTCAGGAGAGGTGGGCTGTTTGCATGTTAGGTGTTCCCAGCAACAGTCTTCATTCTCCTTCTGCATTAGGGAAGCCTAGCTCATGATGCTGCCCTATCCATGATGGGAATTGGCATAACCTCAGGTTATAAATGTAGGAAACTGGACTTAGACTTGCAATACTGACTGCTATGTTAGAAAGAGGAGAGAAGGAAGGAAGGAAGGGAGGGAAGGAGGGAGGAAGGAAGGAAGGAAGGAAAGGAGAAGGGAGGGAAGGGGGTGGGGGAGAGGGAGGGAGGGAATATTTATTAAATTGCTTTTCTTGAGTCTTAATTAAAATTTAAAGCATTAAAATCTGACAGTAACTGATTCTTATGGCAATTGATTCCATGATAAGATTTGGGCTTTTTGAAAATTCCAATCAAGTCTGGGCTTCTTTATCCTTAAAAGTGCCTACCTCCTCAGAAATCATTTTACACTGAAGCTATGTACTATTCTTCCTGAGTACAGAGAGCTTCACCCTAATCATCCTTGTAAGAGGGATGTTGTGAAGTAGCTGGCAAGGAGTCTAACTCAGTGCATTTGAACTGCTATAACAAAGTAACTGAAACTGGATAGCTTGTAAATAACAGAAATTTCTCACAGCTCAGGAGATCCCAGATCAAGGTGCCAGCAGGTTCAATGTCTGATGAGAGGTCAGTCTCTGCTTCTAATGTAATGCCTTGAGCAATGCCTCCTCCAGAGGGAACAAACACTGTGTCTTCACATGGAAGAAGACTGGAAAAAAAAAAAAAAAAAAAAAAAAAAAAGACCTAGCTAAATGCCCTCCCACCCTTTTATAAGGTTACTAATCTCATTCATGAAGGTTCTGCCGTCATGACTTAATTGCCTCCTAAAAGCCCTGCCTCTTAATACTATCACATTGGCAATTAAGTTTCAACATGGATTTAGGGGTACACATTCACATCAGAGCAGATTTCTTTGGGCAGTCTGCAGCTTCTGAACATAAATTATAAAAGCCAAGCTCCTTGAACCTTTCTTGAGATTGAAACCATCTGTTAGCTTGGGTTGCAGTACTTGAATCAACTGAAATCTGTATCTCAAGAATAGGATAGGGTTCCTCTTGCTGAGCTAGACCTTACTTGGATTTATTGTTATCACAATGAAAAGGAAGTTTCAGGACAACAGGGATCAAAAGGGATTTACTTTTTCGTTTCCTGTTGACAATGATGATGAACACTGAAAGCAGGATTCTGTTCTCACTGATCAGTCCAGAACCCACACCTGGTATGGCTCACTTAAATTACGGGGCAAAGAGTGGGGTGTGTTTGTGTGGGCATAACTGGGTAAGGACTTCCAGGGTGGTGGAGTAGTGGAGACCCGGGAAACCCTGTCACTTTTCTTTGCTTCTCCTGGGAACAAAACATTCAGTCAAGGATGGCATCCAAGCTGCATTTTGCCCACCAGAAGGTAAGCTGCCTAGGGCAGGGGTTTTGTCTGCTTCATTCACTGCTGCATCTTTAGCAGCAAGAACAGTGGCTGTGTACCTCACACATGGCAGACACACTGTAATATTACTTTATTTAATGAATGAGTTAATAACTTCACAAGAAAGGAAGCCCAGAAAGGCTTCATATAGGGAATTTGCAAGCATGACAGATTCCTCTTTCTTACGGTACGTAAATAGTCTTTCTCAGGGGTCCACAGACTTTTTCTGAAAAGGGCCAGATACTAAATATTTAAGGCCATGCAGTCTCTGTTACAACTACTCAGCTCTGCCATTTGAGCACAAAAGTAGCCACAAATAGAACCTACATGAATGAGAATTGCTTTTCATAAACAGGTGGTGCTGGATTTGGCCCATGGGTTGTTTGCTTACTCCTGCTCCATCTCCCAGGGAAAGGGTACCAGTTAGGATGCTATCAGATGAAAAATGCAGAAGCCCTGACTCATGCTGGCTTAAACAGTAAGGGCCTTTATTATCTTACAGTTTAGGAATTCCTGAGGTGGGGCAGCCTTTAGAACTAGTTAAGGCAGTGGGTCCTCTCTTCTTTCTTCACCCTTCATCCTAAGGCTGGCTTCCCTCATGGTCACAACATGGCTGCCAGTGACAGTTGGACCCTATGACCTGGCCAGGTTAAAATAGTGCCCATCAGCCTGGCACAGTGACTTATACCTTTGATCCCAGCACTTTGGGAGACCAAGACCAGTGGATCACCTGAGATCAGGAGTTCAAGACCAGCCTGGCCAACATGATGAAACCCCATCTCTACTAAAAATACAAAAATTACGCATGTGGTGGCGGGCACCTATAATCCCAGCTACTCGGGAGGCTAAGGCAGGAGAATTGCTGGAACCCCAGAGGCAGAGGTTGCAGTGAGCCGAGATGACACCATTGCACTCCAGCTTGGGTGACAACAGAGAGACTCCAGCTAAAAAAAAAAAAAAATTGTGCCCATCCCTGGAACAACAATGCACTGTAAGGGAATGTCATGTCCAGTGGGTTAGACCAACTGAGGTGGATGGATATTAAAGAATCGACCACCAGTGTTTACTAAAGACACATCATAGGCCGTGGTCACAACCTATTCTTTCCCTTCCTATGAGAAAGGAAAAACTATTACAGGTGTCAGAGAATCTTCAACCTATAATATTCCCCACAACACCAAACAAAATAGTAGTTGCCAATTTTATTTCTATGATTGCAAGACCTCGGGAGAAGGCTTCAGCCAAAGTATGAATGCAAAGTTTTCAATTTCCTTTCTTTTAGGCATGTACCACCATGATGGGATAATTTTTTAATTTTTTGTGGAGACTGGGCCTCATTATGTTGCCCAGGCTAGTCTTGAACTCATGGCTTCAAGTTGTGTTCCTGTCTCAGCCTCCTAAAATGCTGGGATTAGAGGCATGAACCACCTCTGGGCCAGATTTTCAATTTTCAGCAAATTTTATTAATCATGAAGTTTCATTCATATGCATCTGTGCCCTGGCACAGTGATAATTGGTAATGATCATATTTATTCAGAGTAGCCACTTTGGGTGAAGCAGCTGGTGGCTTTAATGAGAAGTCACCCAGGCATATGATTCCATAGCTCTTTAATACAGAGTTGAATGTGCTTTCCCAGGCCTTTCCAGGCCTTTCTACTTAATTAGTTACCTTGTTCTTGGTAATCCATTTTACAGACAAATCCATGATATGTTTGATTTTGATAAGAGAGTGACATAGTTCATTAGGGTCTAACAAGTGATATTGTGATAAAATGGTAAGAAGTTTTCCAGGATTACAGGCTGCTCTGTCTTTAATGATTTTGTTTGCTCTGTGTTTAGCTGGTTTTATTTCCCATGAAATAATGTTAATTTAGATTCCTAGATAATTTCTTCATTCCTTTTACTTTTCTTGTCTGCTTAGTACACTGTAAATCTGGTCACTACTGCTGTGGTGATTTACTAGTAAATCACTACTGTGGCAATTGCTTTTATCATTAGTTATTAATAATCATTATTATTGCTCTTAAAAATTTACTATTTCAATATTCAGTAATTACAGTTTGGCTCTTGTGGTTCATGATTTTTCCTGTGATACTGCTAAATAAGCAAACCCTAGTTTTTTTGTTTGTTTATTGGTATACTTGGATTGAATATGTTATACTTAGATTAAATATGAATTAGGTTGACACATTTTTTAAAGGATTTTCTAAACTTTTTAAATTGGTTTGTTATGCTTGTCACTATAGATTAATGAATTTAAAAATATCTGTGAAATAAAGAAAATTGAGACTTATGAAAAGAAGAAAGAATTGGATAAATTACAAACTAAAGTATCAAAAATAAAAGAAACAGTTACTACTTCTGCAGTGGTAAGAAAGAATAAACTATGTATGTATTTTAAGCCTTATCTAGGTACCTCAATAAAAAAGGAGTTGATTTTAATTCATCTTTATGCCATGCTGAGAGGATGTTTTCTGCACATCAACATTTTCTGACACTTCCTTTATAGTGTTATGGTGCAATTGTGGTTTCCTCCTCAAGAATATAATGGGAAGAAGGAAATTAGGAATGCCTTAAGTACCAACTGAATTTGATGGGCCAAATTACTATGAAAATATTGATTTAAAAAAACATACAGAACTAACCAAATATACTGATATATATATATATATATATATATAATGTTTCCATGAGATTGCTTCATTTTGTATAACAAAATGAATAACCATGGGCTGAGTCCTTAGTTCTGAATGTGGAATAATAGAACAGAGTTTAGGCTCTCTGTTAATATTGGGTGCAGCAACATTAATATGTAAAGGAGATCATGTGTCTGTTGAACTAGAAAATAAATATGTCAGAACTCTGTACTTCTGTTAAAAGACTGTGATAACATTTGCTGAAAGGCAGCACTATGATAAGTATTTTGTGAGGATTATCTTTATTTTAGAGACGAGAAAATATGAGCTGATGGAGGTGACTATAATTGAAGTGGTTAATGTAAATACTACTTGTATGTTAATTAAAACAAAAATGCCTGTTAACCTCTTATCACAATTAAATTAATGAATCTTTAGTATATTTTTTTCTATATGTCTTGAAAAGTCACATGTAAAACTATACTATGGGGTGGTTCTGCTCATCTTAATTACAATATATCTATTATGATATCCAATTACAAAACATTAGTAAAATGAAAAATTTCTCATAAATATGTGCATTAAAAAAATCATTATCTGTTTTTAAATTTCAACATAGTAAGGAAGCACTAGGCCTACAGGAAACTATAGAGGCTATATATAACATATTTTATCTGCATGCCCAAGCTCCTGTTTCCAGTTTTGCCCTCATAAATCGTAAATCAAGCCCACCAACAACTAGCTTGGGAAAATGAAGTATGTGTTCCTTAGCCTATACTCTGAAGGTCTCTAAAGCCAAATTAGAAAGGCTTGAAGGTGGCAGGAGTAAATTCGCCTCTGGGTCCGTTCCCACTCTCCACAAGCCAGCCTGCCCACCCTCTTACCCTTCCATCAGTAAAAAATAGTTTATTAAGCACAAACTTAAGTATCACACAGAACTGGGTTCAAATCTTAGTTCTACAAACCTGAAATTTCCTCATCTATAAAATGTAAGTATTAATATTGCCTACTGCAGAGCATTTTTGTGGAGATTAAATGAAGTCATGCCTATTAAGTGCTTTATATTTGGGAGTTCATTGTCATTGTTGTTGGCTGAGGTTAGCAAACAGTATTTTGGCTATAGACTAAGACCACAAGGAATTTCAAATTTACTCTCACATGGGACATGTGGTTCAGAAGTCTCTGCAGCCAGGTTATGTTGATAGGAGTTGGCAGAAAAAAAATAATAGCATGTGACCCTTAAGGCGGCCTACCTGTCTAGGCAAGGAGGACTAAGGATAAAAGATAACAGATGTCAGACCGATTAGGCCTTGAGCATGTATCACTAAATCTGATGACTGATCAGAGACCTTTCAACATTCTGCTCATTTTGATGGTAGTTCTATGACTCCTGTTAGCTCTGGAACTAACTATTGGTGCACAAGAGAAAGAAACCGTTTTGAGTAGCTTTTACCCACGTCTCTCACCTGGCATGGCTGAAAGCACCTCAGTTCTCCCCACAGGTGTATCTCTGATACCACATTGCTGTCCAGGGTTAGATGGCATTAAATATTATGTCCATGGTAATTCTATGTTGGAGAGAAGAGGAATTTGTTTCATCAGCCTTATCTAAGCTCTATTGTCCCTCACAAGCTGAAATGCAAACCCAAGGCTGAATAAGTTTGACTTTCTTCTTCTTGATCCCAAACTTGCATTGCAAAAATATGTTTCATTATAAATTTTCTCCATCAATTTTTCCCTCTTTTAAATTATAACTTTTTTTTAATAGTATCCAATTATTCCATTTCCTAAATTTAGATTAACTATTAAGAAATAAAAATTATTTTCAGCATGAACATAGCTATGAAGGGAAACAAAAGACCCAATTTGTTCTGACTTTTTAAAATAATACTCATTTCGATCTCCTGGGATGATAAATGAAGATGATTGTGACAATATGGATTTGTTTAATTTTTCAAGTGGTAGACAAAGTTAATTCTTATCTCAAAAAATTTTAAAAGTAGTCACATTCTCACTGCTGTATTTAGCCATTTTCCCCTGTAAATTTTGGGTTTTTCTGATGATTTCAGAATTATGTGTGTCCAAGTTTATTTTATAGAGAAACAATTATGATTGCTTTTTTTTCCTGGTAGTGTACCCCCATTGTAAAAGTTGAATGAGTAACTCATGAATATTGAGTGGAATTGAACTGCTGTTATGAATCACTTGGTGATGATTAGATACCATATTTTGTTTAATTTTTAATAGGTTCTCAGTGATCACAACTTAGAGATAGCACAACTACATGAATCGATAAGGTATTGGGAACAACAAGTCAGTGAGCTAAGGAAAGCCCTTGTGATTCTGGAGACTAAACTGTGAGTGTAACGCTTTATTTTTACTGAAGTGTTTCAAGATATGTTAATATGGTATTATAATATAGTTATGCTATGTGTTCACTTTTAAAAACATGTCTTTAATTTGACACGAAAATTGTATTCTCTTAGTTTGCTAAAATATGTGTGATAGTTTTGTGGAATCACCTTTTTGTTGTGAAATTAGTCCTTCAAATGATCAAGAGAAAAAATTAAAGATGCTGTCAGCTTGGGGAAAGGAAGGGACTCTTTGGAATGTATGTATTATTCCCATTTCAGTTACTGACTCACTACAAACAAAAATGCTCATGGGGGAAGGCATTAGTGGGACGTAGCATAGGCTACAACCCATCTAGCCATGCTGTTAGAGTTGTTCTTATTCAAGGGAGACTTGCCAAACTTCCTGAGAAAATATAGGGAAGTCCAGGGGAAAACTGCTGCACATGGGACTAGAACCAGAAACTGAAGGAGGCGTTCCATCCATCCAAAGCCTCAGTCTGTGCTTCATTTTGTGAAAGCATTTCATTTGTCTCTTTATCTGCACATGGTATTCTCTTCTTGGTGAGCACATGGCAACCTCTGGCTATGCCAAATCCTCTGAATTGACCTTGCACAGGTCCAACTGTCTTTAAAGATTGATCAACACACTCTCTCCCCAGAAAATCCCCAGATTTTACATCAGAATGTGTTTGGCTCAGCTTTGGTTCCTAATCCAATCAGCTCTGCACAAGAAGATGGAGTCTTACTTATAACATGGCTTCCGGGGACTACTCCAATGGTTCGCTGACAGTTTAAGAAACAAAATGTGGACTGAGTAGATTCCAAAAAGACAACGTCACATGTAGAATCCTGTTATAACATAAGTCATTTCTATATACATTTGAATGTATTGCAGTTAAAATTATAATAGGTCTTTCAAAACAGCAATGCTGATTTATCATTATCAGTTCATAAAATGGCAACAATCTTTATCTTCAGTATCAGATTAAAAAATAAGAAAACTCAATTAATACCACAACTACAACTCAAAAAAAAACAAAAACTCTTATTTTGTGATTCAATAGTATTAGTTTACATATATTTTGAAGAAAAAGCAGGCAAGAAGTCATAGTGGAAGATGTGGATTAGTTCAAATTATTTCTAGCTGTTATGAATAAAAGCCTCATTACATTGATGAAATTTTATTTATAAGCCATCTTCATGTTAGCTAACATGTATAAGGATTCATTGATCTTCCATTTATAGTGATTTATCATTATTTATAATCCCAGCTTTTTAAGAGTTTGGATTCATGTAGAATCTCACCAAAGAAAAGTGCTTTATATTAACGTGGTGATCAAGGACATAAGTTATTCTCCCTTTTATTAAAAAAAACTTTACTTTTTCTTCTTTATTACCTGGAAAATTAAAAGAAAGTTCTTTGTATTCTTCCTGTTTTCTTCCTTAGCTGATTTCCTCTATCTGTGAAGATAGGGAGAGGCAATCTAGGTTCCTGCTAGGTGGATTTGAAGAATCAGTGCTGTTTTATAAGATTTCTATAAGAAATTATACAAGAAACTAAAATAATTTTCAAAATGCATTTTCCTATCAATCTATAACCCTTTATTTTACTTCATGAAATCTTTTTTTTTTTTTTTTTTTTTTTTTTTTGGGGGGGGTTTTTCTCTGTTGCCAGGCTGGAGGGCAGTGGTATATTGAGGAAAACAAAATCACTCAACCACAAGTTTAAATCCCTTGTGTGGGCCGGGTAGAGTTTGTTATACCTGTAATCCCAGCCCTTTGGGAGTCCGAGGCGGGTGGATCACAAGGTCAGGAGTTTGAGACCAGCCTGGCCAATATGGTGATACCCTGGCTCTACTAAAAATACAAAAATTAGCCTGGCGTGGTGGTGGGCACCTGTAGTCTCAGCTGCTCAGGAGGCTAAGGCAGGAGAATTGCTTGAACCTGGGAGCTGGGAGGCGGAGGTTGCAGTGAGTCGATACCATGCCACTATACTCCAGCCTGAGTGACAGAGCAAGACTCCAACTCAAAAAAAAAAATTCCATGTGTGTTTGGACAACTAAGAGTAACTCTAATGCTCCATAAATCTACAGGAGACGGCTGGGCGTGGTGGCTTATGCCTGTAATCCAAGCACTTTGGAGGCCAAGGCGGGCGGATCCACTGAGTTCAGGAGTTCAAGACCAGCCTGACCAACATGGTGAAACCCCGTCTTGAAAAAAAAAAACATCTACAGGAGGCATTGTCATTTGATCCTTGTTCTTTCTTATCATTGATATCCAGTGTGATTACACAGATGAAGACAAATCCAATGCCTACCTTTTAAAATCACTATTGTGTTTATTTGCTCTTCAGCTGGCTTTCAGCACATGAGAAATGTGAAAGTTAAATGTTGTATATAAATGACATCCAATTTGTGGCCTAGAGTATATACTTGCCATTAAAGTGTATGAAGCTATGAAGACTATAGATGCTTTTTTGAGCTAACATGGTTTCAGAATTGCCACAGTTACCAATGACTTCCATCCTGTTAAACTTTAGTGGTCTAGTCAACTCCTGAAAGTTCTCAAATTCATAATAGGATTTGACAGTTTATCACTTCCACCTCCTTGAAGTACTTTCTTCACTTGGCTTCCTAAATATCATATTCTCTTATTTTACTCAC